TGAGAATGCTGTGGGGGCCAAAAGGCATTCTCGCTTCTTGGTCCTGTTCGTATGAATGAAGCTTTGTTGCGGCATCAAAGGCTTCAGTTCTTGGGCATACATGGTATCGTTGGCCCGTGGCAGGCCTATTTCGCTTTCATTCCACGAAATGCTCTCACCTTTGCAAGGAGCTTTAGGAAGCCGGCCTATGTCATGGGCCCAGCACAGCTTCCTTTGGGCATCTTGTTCCCCGTCGCTCAGCGCGAGGTCAATGATTTTTTGGAGAATTGGAATCTTAGCATGACCAAAGAGGCCGGGTCGGGTGAGCGGGTGACGCGATTGGGCAACTGGCGAAGCCGGCTAAAGACAGAGAGAGAGAGAGAATGCAGTGGAAGCCGTGCAGGTCAAGCAGGTCTGTGTCTGGGTGGGTACTTTGTTGGGGGAATCCAAAAGGAAACCAGCAGTTTGGGGGTTCCCACATGTGGACACATGCCCATATGTTCTGTCGTTTGACCAACCACATCTCTCGCCCGGTTCTTGCACGCATCCTTCTTCCAATTCGGCCCAACATTGAGCATTTGGATTGGGGATGGCTGGGTTTCTTGTGGGTTTTACCTCTTCCAAAAAGGGCCTCCGGTTCTGCGCGCAAACGAATTGCTTGACGCCGGCGGAATTGCGGAAATGCGAGGGAATGTTCAAACACATTCCTATTTTGCACAGTCTGGGTCCGGTGACACAACAGCTCTGGTCATTGGCGCTTGCCAGAATTACCCGCTTTCCTTCCGATGGGAGTGGATAGGAGACCCTTTTGAGATGGCAGTCTTCCAAAACCCTGTGAACCCATTGACATGGATTCTACTGGAAGCGCTTCTGACAGCTCGTTCCAAGGGAGCTTGTGTCGGGATTCAGGACATTTGTCAAGGCCACAGGCACAGCATTGCAAGCAATCCTGAGATGGGGCTGAACATCTCGTAGATCAGCAAGTTCAACAGGGTGGAATATCCGTTTGCGAGGACTTGAAAGGCACTCAACACGGGGTTGCCTAATTGTAGGCTTGGGAATTACTGTACATTGGTGAGACCACAGAATGCCGGTCTATTAATTTCCTTGATCTTCTGACAGCGCCGGTATTTTGGTGGGCTGTGCCTTGTCAGGTTGCAGAACAATATTGTGCCAAAGTAGCTCCGTTGCAACGACGCCGATTGACCTCAACTTTCCTTCAGATCGGGGCCGGCAAAAGGGAGCGAAAGGCATGGATTTGACCTGCCTCCATCATGAAGTGCTCACTCGTGATGAAGATCCGTTGCTTGGGCATTCCGAGATTCCCTCATCTCCGGGCTCCGGGTTCCAGATTTGACGACTTTTTGCTTGACCCGATCATTGGGCCCCCAAACGCCCGGGGGTCGGCCTGCCGTGGCTGCGACTCCGCGTCAGGTTTTTCTGAGAGAAACTTCTCAGCAGCCGCTCCTTAGAGACGAGCTAGTGAAGGCGCGGCCCAACTTTCGGCGGCACATGTTTTGGAGGTTCTCAACGGCGAACTTGTAAACTGGCTGCGTGCCTTGTATTTACGTCTTTGATTGTTCCTCCTTATCCAAAGCAGCATAGCTTCCTGGCTGCATCCTTCAATCCTCACCTTAATTTAGTTGCTCTCACAGGAAGCGGCTCTCTGATGGTATTTGGCAGCTCGAATCCTAACCAATTGGTAGATGGTTTTTGATAAGAAACCAACACCTGTTGCCAATCCTTTTCCAGAGGACGGCTTTTTCTTGCTGTATCATCTCAAAAGGACATCCACCATGAGTCACACACACGCACACAATCCACAGGAGCCCGCCCATGTTTCTGGGAGATGCTAAGCATGCCACTTTGTGATGGTAGCGCCCCGTAATGCAATGTCGTGTCATGTCATGTCATGTCATGTCGTGTAATGCAATGTAATGCAATGTAATGTAATGTAATGCAATGTAATGTAATGTAATGTCCGAGCACCACTCCTCAGCTGTAACAAAAACAGTATGAGAAAAAAACTGGCGCAAGCGCGGTACCTCAACAAGAAAAAACCTGCGGAGCTGCAAGCATTTTGCAGGTTAGTCGGAGAAAGCGGTAGCCCACTGCCCGTGTATTCGTATCGATTGATTTTGCATCCTAATAATCCATCCCCTTCCCACTCCCTCACTGGCTTTTCATGGACCCTGGTGCGAACTTTACGAGCTTCGGTTTCGCTCTCTACGCCTCACGGGGCTTTACCATCTTGGATCTCTCTTTAAGTCAGTACAGGTGAGAATCGGGACATTGACCAAAGACATGCCAGGAGAGGCTGCCTTGACTTTGGACCGGTTACAAACTGACCAAACCCCTCGAAAAGCAACACGGCATCACACAAACGTGGGTTAATCCCCGGTTGAACGCTGAGCCCAGGGGTTACGAAACCAGGTCGAACTAGCACGACAGTTCTGAGGAGCTGGCTGCCGCAAGCCTGGAGCCCCCGCTCGCCGACCAGGCGATCTTGGAGCAGGCGGACTCAGGAAGTTCCGGGGCCATCAGCCCCGTAGGCTTTACGTTCTTTCACAGGTCTACATTTTGTTTGGGAGTCATTTCTTGGAGCGGATCCTGGACTCCTCACCTTTGTTGCGCGTTGTCCCTTTGTGGCCCCTTTCGGTTTCCAAAAAGAGGATTGGATGAAGTGGATCACTCTCGGTTTGGTTCCAATCAGTATATCTAGTTAGGATTCTTACGTAGAGGATCATGAACGGTGTGGGTTTCCGTTTGGTTTCCTTTTGAACATCATTCCCCCCAGCGCAACTCTCGTGTGCGGGGAGAAATGTGCACATCCACAAGCGGAGAGGACAGGGTCTGCTTTGTGGTGTTCCAAGCGTACATGTCATTTCCTTTGATAATGCCCACTTTGTGCTTTGGCTTCCCTGAAACCTTTGCGGTTCGCCTGGGATGAGTATCCCGCCAGCAGTTGATTGATCCCCGCTTTGCATACATCCTTGCTGTGTTGGGAGCATTTTCATGATTACACGGGGTAATGATGACTTCACGGGGCAATCAAGCAAGGGTCGGGTTTCAAGTTGTTCCAGGGCCGTGCACGGGTCTGGCGAGAATCAAACTGGAAGTGACCCACGAAAGGTGAACATCTGTTAATCGGAGAGAGTTTCTATCAGGGTGCTCCGGGCTGAAGAGCAAAACAAACGAGGAAATGTCGATGATCCCTGCTGGGGGTCAGCGGACTCCCGCCCGCAAGGTTCTTGCGGCGGCCCAGAAGAGAAGGCGTGACCGGAATACCGATCCGGAATACGTGGGCTCCGAGGCGAAAAGCCCAGGAGATTCAATGGACTCACGACCATCCAATGTCAAAAGGAAGTGAAGCCACAGGCGAATCGAACGCAAAAGGAGTCTGTTAGCATTTCTTTAGGCAAGAACATCCTCAGCCACTTAGGTGTAAAGGGTGACCACATGCTGTACCTCGAGGCTCGTTCGCACGTGAGCAGGCACCTTCCGGAGACCATCCCAGAGGAGTGCAGGAGAACGGAGCCCCAGCCCATTGCGCATGGCGCGTTTGGTCCCATGCGTCGATGGAGGGAAAGGAGACCAGTCATGTTGAGGGTTTTAGAACAAACCCATGTTTCCCCTTGCAATTTTGAAACGTGCTTCTATTCCCTGGATTTTTTGAGCATGGGTCAGTATGAGTTCTAGCTGTGGCTGCGCCCGCCCCATTTGAATGTTTCGTTTCAGACAAAAACAGCACTGGTTTTCCAAGGAAGGATGGAGAGGGTATCTGTGCGAAATGGTAGCGCCAGTCTCCGCGAGAGATGTGCCCGGAGGCTTGCCTTGTCAGCGGAAGGAACTGCCACACGGGTTTGGTGTATGGAAGCTGGCAGGCTTCCGACTGTCTGGCTGTCACAAAAGGCGACTGCCCACTTGTATCATGCCCAAAACTTTGCTACCACCTTTGGCCGAGTCGAATCTCAGGCGAGCAGAGATATCAGGTAGTGTGCATGCAGGGGCGCCTTAAGAAGACTTTGAAATACCTCGATGCTGTTGCAAGGACAGCCAATTCCTATTCGACATTGCATGTGGGCTTAGCCCCCAATTTGGGCGGTTTCCCTTTGGTTTTCTTTTTCCGCGCCCACACCCATTGACCCACGCCGATCCCAGGTGGTTTCTGATCGTCGAAGTCATGATGCACTGTGTGTCATCTAGCCAAGGAATCGGCCCCCCTACAACCGGAACAGGTTCTCCGAGCTCTTTTGAACCCTAAGAAGTCCTTCCAAGCAGCAAATCCAAGACCAGTTCTGGGGTGGGGGGTTACCGCCTATGGTTTCCTTCCGACTGGGGCGCACGGGGGCGCGACTGCGCGACTGGGGCGCTGCACAGCGACAAAAGAAAAGGGCGCGAGTGTGCTGGCCTCCGGCAAGCTCTGGGGGTAAAACGAGCCCGTGATGTAGGCCTTTGGTGATCCTTTTAAGCCTTTTGCTTGGTGATGTAGGCTCGTGTTTCTTTAGTTTCGCAAGTATTGTAAGCAGATCATATGATGCCACACTGCAGACACTTTCTGTTTTGTATCGGGTGTGTTCGCTTTATTTTCCAGGGTCAGATGGTGCAAGGTGTTCCTTTTGGTCTACGCCGCAATGGATCAAGCCAGGTTCAGGCAGGTGTGAGAAAAAGCCGAAGAAAGACTTTTCTGGGTGGCATGCGAGCCATCAGGAAGCATGTATGTTGCCATCCCAGTCGGGGTGCCTCGCCATTCGTGTGGCAAGTGACTATTTCGGATGTCCCATGGGTTCTAACAAGGAGGTAGCTTTCATCACAGAGTGTGTAGCATTCTAGACCACGTTTGTTAGCATATTTGTTGTTACCGATTGTTCGTTTGGGGAGGACTTGTGATTCTACAAGGCAGCCGAGGTTCTGTTTGATAGACGTAAACAGCATCAATGAACAAGGGTGTTGGAAACATGGACACGTTTGCGCTTGTCAGGTTGTGCCCTCAACTTTTCCGCTTCAGCGCGCATGCCCGAGCATGATTTAGCCGCACCTTTAGATGTGCGTGTAGTTTGTTGTTTGCAGCCATGACGCGCGCTTGGCTGAAGGGCAAGGTGTGTGTGGTGACAGGAGGCGGGAAGGAGACAACAAGACCGAGGGGATAGCTTCTGCGCGACATGATCATGGGCTGTTTTGCTTGATGGCACCTGGCGTCACGTGCAATGACTGGATGGACTGTAGCAACTAATCATGTCCAGTTCACCATGCATCGGACGCCAAGCAACTCTCTCAGTTTGCTGCCTGAGATCCCAAATCCGAAAAAGCAATAGACGTTTGCCCTTTGAACTAAGTAACTAGTGCGGAGGGAGCAAATGGTTCAATTTTTGCTGTCAAAGACACCCAAAGATAGGAAAGCCTTGCAAGAGTTTGACCCAAACTCGGGAGCGACGCCAGGCGCCAGTGGGATCGGCGCCGCGCTTGGCGCGCTGTCCGGAAAGCATTTTCGCGGGAAGGGACCATTCGTGGAAGGCACATGTTAGGTTCTAAGACCTGGCGGTGCGGTGCGGATGTTGTCCCCGGGACCCTGCAAGGTTGCGTTCTCGATTTGTCTTCTCAGCCGCTCCCTTTTCTCGTCCCGGTTGCTGTTGGAGGAAGGATTGGTTTGAGTTGGACCAGGCGTGGCTCATTGGGTTTCTTCGTTTTTCTGGGGCTTTGGCTTCTCTTGGGGGAACACGGCCCATGTTTGAATTCTTAATCCACCCCTTTTGTTCCCCAAGCACCTTTTTCTTTTTCCTATTGTGCTTTGAATTTCTAGGCACCCTCTTTTATCTTTGGCACTCCTTGTGAGCAACCGACTTTGGTTCTTGTGGTTTATCTTTCGACCAACCCAAGAAGGATGCCCTCAAAAACACAATCAAAAAGACGCACCCCAACAAGGGGTTCCCCCACTCATTTGACGGATCGGCCGCATCCCAAACGGCCGCTGAGGGGCGGCTCTGTGCCGGCGCTTTGCAGCGGAGGGTGCCAAGGTGGTGGTGGCGGACATGGCGGAGGATCGGAGCAGCGAAAGAAGGATTTTTGGAAGGAAGGAAAACAAAAGCCAATCAGGTTTTCGGGTGTTGGGATGGGGCTTAGGAGGGGGTTGAGTTTGGAAATTCCGAAAGCAGCTTTGATCTCGTTTAGGTTCTGAGGGGGGGGATCATTTCTGCGGAATGCGCAGTGTTGGCGTTTTGGCTCCAGGCATTCCAGGGACCTGGCCATACTGGCTGCCGTGGAAATAAAGCCAAATTTGCAGTGGGCGGATGGAGCTGTGACGGAGCTGTGCCGGTGGGATTTGGTGATGAGGATTCGCTCCCGCCTCAGCACCAAATCCTCGAGGTGGTCTCTGCGAAAGGAACTGTGCCAGTGAGATTTGGCGCACCGGGAAAAAAACGAGAACCTCTGTGGACGGAGCGTGGCAAATTGAATGCCTTTTGGCAAGGTGTAGCCTGAGCCTAATTTAAAGTATGCCGAGGAGGCTTGCGGGCGAATTTGTCACGCCATTTTTTCGGACCCAAAGTCAGGCAAAAGGCTTTTGAGAATGGTTTTGGTGGCGTAGAGCCTGAGCCGGAACCCAAGCTGACCAAAAAGCAATTCCCGCCGCTTTCGTGGTCGAATGCTTTTGGCAAGGTGCGGCCCCAGCCTAAATGCTCACGAGCGGGTAAAGCCTGAGTGAGATGCAGTTTGCTGCCAAATCTGACTGCTGGTTCAGGCTCGGATGCCGGGTGATGCCGATGTTTGAAAGGAATGTCCACCCGTATCCGCAATTCGTCTGTCACTAGTTTCGCTAGTGGCACCCCACCGGGGTAGGAGAGGCGTGAGCGAAATGGCAAAAGAAGAAGCGAGCCGCCCGCCCCTGCAGAGGGCGGAAAACAGGGGGTGAGCCAGGCTTTCCGCGGTCAGAAATGCAAGTGGCCATCTTTGCTCAAAGGTGGTTGGAGATGTTTATGCGTTGCGTTGCAACGGGATGATGTTGCCAGCAAGTTTTCGGCAATGGGCGGTTGTGGGGCGTGGGTGGGGACGGGGGGGGGGGTTCCATTGCCAAAACGTCTGTCACTCATGGCGTAAAACCGTTACGCGTTGTTACGAAGGCGTCCGGGAAGGACTGGGCGCGTTGGCCATATTTTGGTTCGGTGTTTCGTTAGTTATTGCGTCGGGCGTGCGTCTGGAGGCCCGCCTCCGATGTGCTCAAACTTTGTTTGGCGCACGCGTTCGGCGGTTTGTTGGCTTACTGCGCCTGTTTGAGGCGGGCCTTGCGAATCGGTAAAGTTGGATGAACATCTGAAATGCAATCCGTAGGTTTGACTGAGAGAGTGCATTTAGCTTAGACCCTTGTCCTGTTTCCCGCCGATGCGGGTGGCATAAACTCAGGGGCCTGGGAGACATGACGCCCACCATTGTTTTTCATTGGAAATTGGGGGTCTACCCGCCATGTCGGCGTGCTGCAGGATATGGATACAAGAGTGGAGCAGGCAAGGCAGCAGTTAAGCCGCGCTTGCCAGCGCAGGGTTCGCCACACCTGTAGGAGCTTGGCGCAAATTGTGGAACCGGTCACTTGCTGACCAACTCCCCGTTGCGTGGAGCGGTAAGGGAGGCCAAACAGTGACGGCGAGCCGGAGCACAAGTGGCCGGGCCTAGAACCGCCACGCGCTGTCAGAGTCTAAGTGACGTGACATCCGACCTCAGCCCAAAGCTTGAGGCTCCCGCCAGTGGCCGGGCCAGGACAGCCGCGACAGCCCGAAGTTCGTTTGCAGCGCGGGAAAAGCGTGGTATGTGCTAGGCGGGGATCGTTCGAAGCAATATTTTTTGTTGGGAAGTGACGGCAAACCAATGCCTTGGTAAAATGCCTTGATCCAACCATACAGGTCCAATAAGTTTAGTCCACTGTTCTTTTTTTTTGGCAGAAGAAAGAACTCTGGCTTGTTCTGCAAACATGTTGTCTGTCTGTCACAGGCTCTGTCACGTCTCTCAGATCTGTCTGTCACATCTGCCTGTGAGAGGCTCTGTCGCGTCTGTTTGTCACAGGCTCTGTCACTGCTGTCTGCAAAATCACAGCCGGGGCGACTTTTAAGAAAAACATCAAACAACAGAACATTGGCGGTTTGTTTTGCCGGGCCTCTTTCTTGCGTTCCTGGATTGCTTGGCTTGGTTGCATGAAGCAGGCTTCTACCCCAAAAGCTTGAGCTCGCCAGAGAAACAGATTTGAGTGAATGTATTGGGCTGAATGTATTGGACTGGCTGTCAAACACGGCAATGATCCTTTCTCGTTACACGGAGCAGCTGCTGTCGCAGGATGCTGCCCGTGCAGTTGCTGCTGCCATCGACGGCGTGGCCGTCCGGTGCAACGTGGCGCAGGCGGGTCTTCGCTACTGGCACCGCAGCTCCATGCCTAAAGCTGGAGAAGGTTGTGAACGTCAAACCGATCCATTCTCCAAGTTGAAATTTTAGGTTGGCCACGTTTGTTGTTGTTTGCTGAACCACCATCCCAAGGTTCCCCCTAAATAGGCAGTACCCAAAAGCAAGATAGACCCCAGCTTGTACTTTCAGATGGATCTTAGGGACATGAAACAGATATGTCTTACTTGCCTGACAAGTGATGAATTCCTGTCTGGTTTCCATTGAGCCCTTTCCTTGTCCAATTTTGGACACCCGTGTGTGTTGGTTTGTGGTTGGTCCCGTGGAAGACTTCTCTGTCGGCACGATGCTGCTTTTGTTTGTTGTTGGGAGTTGCGGCAAAATACGCTGCTGCATTTTGCATGGGGTCATGGGCTGTTGGGCTCAAATGGGCGTGCATGAGGCACCTTGTTGGTTAAGGTATGGGACACATGGCAGGCATGCAGGGCATGCAGATGGCGCCAGATGGCACCATGATGATGCCCTACGGCCAAGCGATGTACCATGGTTGTCCTGGGGCTTGCGGCGCGCCTTGCTCAGGGTGCCCCCAAGGTTGCCAAGGGTGCCCTCCACACGGTGCTGCTTGCGGACCGGGAGGGTACATGGTGCCAATGCAACAGATGATGATGGGCAACATGGGTCAAGGCATGCCCCAACAGCCCGGCCACCCAGGCATGCAGTTTGTGATGATGCCAGGTGGCCAAATGGGCCAGCCCCAGATGCATGGCCAGCCGGGGCAGCCACAGCCCCACGGCCAGATGCCGCAGGGCATGATGATGCAGGGCATGATGCCCATGATGCATGGGCAAGAAGTACATCCAGGACCCGGTGGACCCGGACCTGGAGGACCTGGACCTGGAGGACCTCAAGGACCTGGAGGACCTCAAGGACCTGGAGCTCAAGTCGGTGGCCTGGAAGATGAGGGCAAGGGCGCCAGCCGCATGGCCGCTGGCCTGGGCCGGAGCATCCAGCCCAAGCAGGGGGCGCAGTGGCAGGGTCGCGGGGCCCGGCCACAGCCGCTGGCGGAGGATGTGAAGGGCGGCAAGGGCCCGAGCCCTGAGCCCGGCAAGGGCCTGCGGAACCCGAAGAACCCTTGGGCTGACATCCAGGACTCAGCTGGCCTCGACGAGATCCAGCAGATGTGGAACCTCCGGCCGGCAGAGTCTCCATCTGGCAAGGCCAAGGGCAAGGGCAAGAAGGAGAAAGAAGGGAAGGGAGAGAGTAAAGGGGAGAGCAAAGGCGGCAAGGATACGAAGCAGGCCAAGAATGGAAAGGGAGGCCGGGAGTGGCAGCCCAAGGAGACCCAAAAGGGTGGCAACGGCGGCGGGGGCAACGGCGGCGGCAGCGCCGGTGGCAACGGCGGCGGCAACGCCGGTGGCAACGCCGGTGGCAACGCCGGTGGCAGCGGCGGTGGGGAGTGGCCAGGCTACGCCGGCGGCAAGAAGAAGCGAGACCCCGGGATGGACGACTGGCTGAGTGCTCGCTTCAACGGGCAGCCCCCTCCGGCCGAGTCCGGCTATGAGGAGTGGGAAGGTGACAGTCAGAAGCGGAAGGGCGGCAAAGCCAAGGGCCAAGCCAAAGGCAAGAGCAAGGGGAAGAACAAGGGCAGAGGGGAGTACTGGCCGAAAGCATGATTTCAAGCTTCGCTTTCCTCATGCTCCTTCACCCAGCGCACTGTCCAATTGACTGGCCACAAAATGGCAGAAAGTGACCCGCTTGACAACCAGAGCGGGCGGATTGTTTCAGCGCTGGTTGATTCTGGGCAGCATGCAGAAGGAATGCCTGCCAGAAGGAGAGCATGGTGACGCGCCTTATATGCCATATAGCACTGCATGGCTTTCCGTTCCTTTTGAGGTGTTCAGTTTCAAATGTAGATAAGGAATGGCATTATTGTCCATAGTATGCAGCTACGAGACTGCCAAACGCACAACATATAACCAGCTTCCATCCACCTCCAAGTGACCCCTTCAAGAGCCCACCCTTCTCAATTTTGGAAGCGCAGCGCACGGACATACTGGTTTGACATACTGTGGATGGACGAAATCCTGCACCACCTAAGAAACCCTAGAATGATATGATCCCCTGTAAATACCAACAAACAATGGTTTCCCATGGTGTCTTGGGTGGTGCAGGATTTTGTCCATCCACAGTATCACTGTTTACCAAAGGGTCCAACCCATTGAAATTCATTTGGGGTCACCGGGGTTGGATGCGCCCTGAGCCACTTGGCAGTCGCAAGTAGCGGGCGTCCGCGCCTTTTGGGCTTCGTTTGGCCCGGCCTGTGGTCTCCTGGCACCCTTTTGGTGACGAGATCGCGGGTGGAATCTTCCTGCCATTTCACCCTGGAACAACAAATCTCAACATCGAAAACCGAAAAATGGATTGAGCCGCCTTTGCGATGCTTGCAGCCTGCAAATGGGGCTTGAGGGTTCTGGTGGAAGCGTTGAACCTATCTCAAGACTTTCGGCTTGTGTGCGATGGCACTCTCAAAGGGTGGGCTGTGCCACATCCAGCACGCATCTCACGTCGTGCCCAGGAAATGGACATCCGGAGGCTGATTGCCATCGCAGAGGCTTCTCAGTCTGGTGGATTTCTCAATTGCTAAGCCCTACGCAATTGCAACTGATATTAGCAATATGGTAAGCCATCCCTAAGGGCATTGTCGGGCACGCCTTAGGGGCTGAAGCGTGCAGCCGCGAGTTGTGTTTTTCCTTTGGGCACCCGGAGGGCTTTCTCGTTGGGAAGGGCGAAATCAAGCCACCCATTTTGTGACACAACCTTGGCAACATGGTTTTATCATTGATTTAGTATTCACAAGTGGCACGCATGGCAGACATAATTCGCACACACGTCAAGCAGACCGCTGGAGACAACAAGTTTCCAGTCAGTTGACAAACCAAAGCGGTTTCCAACCCCGGGATGGTTGGGTTCCTTTCCAAATCCCCGAAAAGGAATCTCCGATGAAAGGAGACTCCTCACTAGGTGCAGGGCACGCCTCCATTCAGGCACTTTGCCAAACCCCCAAAAGATACGCCTTGGTTGCGCCCCCCAAGTTTGGGCGTCAATAATCCGTGTCACGTTTGAGTGGTTGGGGGGGTTGGGGGGGGGTTCTTTGGGGTGGATCCATTGTAAAGGTCCGGCGCCCCGCTAGGCCCAGGGCCCCATCGAGGTCTTCGCAGCCAACGCGGGGATCCCCTCCAACGGCGGGGAGGAGGCCATCATGGGGGGTGCGGGTTGGCACCCTCGAAACCCCTCTTTGTTTAGTGTTTAGTTTAGTGGGTTCGCCACAGAAAATGAGACATCATGTTTCTACCACGAGCATCCAAACTACCAATCCTGGCCAATGAAAGAGGTTGCTTGCTACATGCGAACACCCAGAGCCACTAGCTCCCTTTAGACCCTTTGGGCCCTTTAGTGTGCCTTGGACTCCAATCTAACGACATACCCTTGATGCACGGCTCGGCCTTGGTAGTGATGGCCTTCTCCTGGCGCTTCCCGACGCGAAGCGCAGGTCCCCAACGACGAGTGGGAGCGCATCATGGGGGTCAATGAGCGGGGCTCGGGTGCGGCCTTCCGGGAGCTTTCTAGCTTTTTCTTTCTCCTTTTTTTCCTTCCTTTTTCTCATTTGTGTTTTTTGAATAGGAGAAGATGGCTTTGGTTTCCTTTCGGTTTCAACAGTCCCAAAAAATAGACACATGTTTCCCCCGGTGTACGTTTTTTGTCCCGTTGTGTTCACAAAGCAAATTGTTGTTTTATCGGTAGTTGTGGTATTTGTTCATTTTCACCTCAAGCTGCCTTATGTTGCAGGAGACGCGTTTTTGACGCCAAAGAAACTTCCGTGAGGCATGTGAGGGGACAAATTAGTCATAGGGATGGTATCACCGACAAGGCACCCATTCTCAGGTGCTAGTAGCTTGAAAAGCTGAGGCACGTAGACCAGTTCCCCTTCTGCAAAGATCTTTGACGCGTGACAAGTTCAGCTCTGGCGTATGCATTCGAAGGCTCAGCTCGTTTTTGATAGCGTAATCTCAGGTCATGCAGCACATCTACACAGCTCGGCACCTCTTCCCCCTGTGGCTGAATCGGCCAGGCAAGTGTGATGCAACTGGCACGTGGCATGGGGATGTTAGGGTTTGGGACAGGGAACAGCTCCCAGCAACGCGAGAAGCCTTTCACTTTCAAGTTCTTCGGCCGCAAGAAATGTTTGGGTAGCCTTTAGACCCTTATTTTGTTTGCCCTTATTTTGTTTGCTTGCGCAAAATGCCGGTCCCAGTACATCCGGTCAACATGGCTTATGGAATTTCTCGAGGAACTGGTGTAGCCACTATGTTTTCACACCAACAGCTGGATATTCACCATCCTTTTTGGTACAGTCACTATCTTGATTGGCGTACTTCTTTATAGAATTGAGAAAGTCGTCATGGTCGAAGCTTTGAACATGGCAAAACGTTACAGTAGAGTCAAACCTGGGTATCGTGGCTGTTCTGGTTGCCAGGTCAATGCGTCCATTCTTGTTTCAACAAGATGCATGAGCCCTCGTACGCATGTTTCTGTGAATGGCAAATTCTTACGTGTTACTTGTTTGCGCAAAAGATGGTGCCGGATTGCTTTGTGTTATCCACAGGATGCAGAGTCTGGCCTGATCCTTTGCGAATTCTATGAACCTTGATCTGTTTGCTGCCTTGCAGCCCAGGGCCAGTTATGGATGGGGCTTTTTGATCTTTTAGTCGCCACATTATGGACAGACGGCCAATTACCTGAACTCAAAGAAGCCATACTCGACACCCAGAGGAACATTCTTGCTGCCCACATGCCATGTCCGAAACCAAACTGAGACGGGTTCTCTACAGATGAATCCAGGCATGTGAGTTGCGGACGACGGGGTGCGTTTGCAATGGCAGGTGAGAAGCACCTGATGATCACCGCTTCGGCGGCGGGCCTGCTGACGCAGGCGGCTTGGGCTTGGGCCCACGGAGAGGTTGGCAACCGGGTTCATGCGGAAAATCAAAGCTTTAGGTCGTGGAACATTTGGCATACGATTGCCAGTGTTTGTGATGTGATAAGATTGTGATGGGGACGGCCCAGTGAGAAGAGAAAGGTTCAGTTTACACAACTGGGGGACCCACTAAGTCAGACTAAAGTCCCCGGTCGATACTCCCCACCGGGCCCAAACTTTGGGGCCTCTGTTTCTGTGCCAAACCGCCAGGCCGCCTCGAATCCTCAGGGCCTTCGAAGGCCTTTGCCGCGTCCAGGTGGGATCTCTGCCCTACAGCGTCACCAAGCACGCGGCCCTGGCCACTGCGGAGTGGCCCGGGGTTCCTAGGGCCCAGGGGTCAGGGTTGGTGGACCAGGCAGGGTGGGCCAAAGTCAAAAAGATGGCATGTTACTGTCATCAGATCATGTGTGCATAGGTTCCAACAAAATGATGGGACGACAACCGAATAGTGGCTTGGTATGGCTGTTTTTACATACTCGGACAACTGCGAGAACAGTGTTGAGGGGTTTCCGCTTCAGGGTTGAGCAATGATCACATCAATTCCTTGCTGGAGTGATGGTGTATATAATTTGGTTTTGGGGTGACATGATACAAATGCCGTGTCCTGGCAATGATTGACGAATGTGGTTTGCCCCACTTGGGTTTGATCAGGAGACTAGGACACCAGCCTTTTCGGCGCTAGTTGACAATCAAAGGCTTATGGGTCAAACACGGCCCAGGTTCCGGATCACGTATGCGAGCTCCGGGATTCGTGTGTGCTGCCTCTGCCCCCAGGCCGGGGGCCCGCCAGGTTGAGGTGCCAAGTTTGAAGAGCTCTTCTTTGAAAAACCATCGTTTGGCCGATGTTCGGTGAGCCGTCGTGTGCAAGGGGGAAATGGTGGGAGAGGTTGAACCCCGTGCAGAAGGGGCTGTCAAAGTTGGGAAGCCCTCAGTCCTTTTCTATGCTGCTCTTTCCGGAGTACAGATGGCTTGTTCGCAGGTCCCTCTTGTTCACCACCTTCAACAAGGGCTTGATGCACAGACAGGGTCTGTGAGGGAATGACTCCTACTTTTGATTTTGTGATTTTCTCTGGGGGGGGATGCCATTCCGGTTCACTCCAAAGGCCCTGTTGATTCCCACTGAGACCAACTTGACAAGGTTGAGTGCCACGTGTGTGATCCCACCGGGTCACAACACTGAGACCAGCCAACAAAAGGGACAAAAGTGCATGGAACAAACATGCGCAGATGGCTCGTTTACTTGGTCGGCCGGTTGGTCGGTTGGCTGGTGGGGTGGGTGGATTGGTCGGCTTTGGGGCCGCCAGGCAGTGGAGACTGGGATGGTGCCCTCGGACTCCGGCGGCAGTGTCGCAGGCGCCTGGCGCAGTTGCCACGGGTGCAAATCCTGGTTGGACCTTGGGAGAAAGAGACACAACCTGTGAATAAACAAACCTGGAAAGCCACGTCTTTTTAAGGGATACATGATTGATGTAATACCGATTCCCAATGTTGCTTGCAGCTTGTTGCGTGGTTCAATACAATACTTTGCACGCCGTTTCTAGGAAGCATGGAAGTGGACAGGGGGCGTTTGTAAACGTTGGAAAGAGGGCAACTGGACAGACCCACATGGCTGCTCAGTGGGTGCATCTTCGAGAGCAACAAACCTGAGTTCCATGTGGCTGGTCTTTACTCCTCTGCAAATCAGTATGGACCCCCCAAAACAGAGGCCCAAACCCAAAAGGAAATTATCTGAATTGCAAAAGGACGTGCCTCAATCAAATTCTGCAAAGACACTGTTTTATTTTTTAATAAGAGATTCCTCCAAACATATATTTTGGTCGTCGAAGTTTTATGTAAATCCGCAGTCCGCCGTTCTTCGGCATGAATGGAGTCCCCGAGGCATCGACGGGCTGCTGAAGCCTGAGAAGGTGGCGGAGGTCGCTTGGGCTTACTTGGGATCGCTTGCCGCCGTCTGTTCGGCCGGTTTTGGGGCCAAGGAGTTGGACGGTCGCTGGCTTTGAGCAGTTTGCATTTCGAAATCTCACTCTGTTGGAGTGAGGGAAGAGCCTGGGTGTTTGATATGTTCGAGAACTGGGAGGCACGAGCTCCAGTTGTGCGACATTTTCGTTGTTCCAACTGTTCTGGCTGTGGTGCACGCACCGGCGAAAGAGCTCTCCACTGACGCCAGTCCTGGTTTCCGGGGTCCGGGGGGGGGGGGGGGTGGGTCGGTGCACGTTTCTTCCCCATGCACCCTGTAATTATTCTGGCACTGCACGCTGGATGTTGACAAGGCAGAGGGAGGCACATTCGGACATACAGTTTTGGGTCTATGACTCGTCTTTCTTGATCTTGTGTGTGTTACTTGCTGCTGCTACGATTGAGTAGAGACTACCGTCTAGGACACGCAGCACCAAACTGGCCTTGACCTGACAACATGTTCTACACGGTGCGTTCAGAAAAGCCGTAGAAGGCATGAAGCCTCATGAAGTGTAGCCAGTCCAACAGAGAAAGGTAAAGGGCTGTGCCCATATCCATTCGGCGATGCGGAGCAACGAAATGAATTCCTCCTTTCTGCAGAGTCTGGTGCAAAGTTGGAACCAGCAAGACCATTTGACCATTCCTGTCTTGTAGATCTGGCGATGAGACTTCCAGAGGCTTCATTGGGCAAGGGAAGTGCCACGGCCGTTTTGATAGGAACTCTCAACCGAGACGCTTATGCCAGAGGAAAGCGGCACTTTCAACAACGCACTTGCAACTCACCGTTTCCAGAGAAAAGAGTTATATGAATTTATATAAATAGTTAAAAGAGCTCAAAGAGGAAGAGACGCCAGCCGTTGCCAAGTTGCAAGCACGGTCCTTGCAGGATGTGCTGCTGGCCATGGAGAAGGGCCACTTCTTGGTACTGCCTCACGCAGAGGCGGGGGGGGGGGGTTCCTGGAAGTATCGGGATTTCGCAGGTTCCGGTTTTTAGTTTTAGTGTCAGGTACTGCCAGGCTGGGGCATGTGGCAGTGGTCACTTCCGGCTGGCTTCACAAGAGACTAACATCAGCTGGTCAAAGAAAGCCTCCTCCAGGCTTTCAGTTGCTCCGATTGCCCGCAGACCTGGCCCAAAAAGTGGGGTGTTTGGTTAGGCCACCCCAAGTCCCATGGCGACTGGTTGCGGGCGTATGCACTCAAGCTTTTGGTGCAGCCATCCTTGGCCTTCGGGTCAGGACAGGCGACGCTGATCCCAGTTTCCTCCATAATGAACAACCCTTTGCTGTTCTTTTGAGTTTTTTTAAGGGTTTGCTTGGTTTCCATTTCAGAAGGCACATGGAGTCGCGTCCGTGCCAAAAGCGCCATCACCAGGTGCTCAAGTACTTCCAGCGGAAGGCCTCGGACTACGACCGCTGGCTCGCCGGCATGGAGAGGCGGGGCCGCGGGGCCGCGGGGCGCATCCGGTGACGGTCCATGCACCCGGTTCGGTTGGATTGTGATACCCTCGAGGCCCTCGAGGCCCGAAGGAACCCGAGAACTTTGGAGTTCGAACCCTTTTCGGAAAAGAAGCACATCTTGAAGGGGTGCCACTGGGACTGCGGTGGTCCGTGCGACGCAAGGCTTCAGAAGGCCTTTGGCGAGATGGTGCGCAGGACTTTCGAGCGGTTTGGCAAGCTTCCGGCGCCCAACACGGGGTGTCTCCAAAAAGTAAGGGCCCGGGAAAAAATGGTGAGCTGGCTAAGTTAGATTTGAAGGTTCTGCTCACAGATATGGACTGGGCTGCCTCTCTCACTTGGCTATTGGAGCCAAGGGTCCATCGCGCTTGCGTTCTATTTTTCAGCTGGTGCGGTCCAAGACCAGGCCCCGAACCTTCAGAGTTCTCGTGATGTTTGCGGTCAGCTGCTTGGACGCGTTGCTTTGGCGCTGTGATCTGGCAGGAGCCCCCCGATCTCTGCTGCGAAGTTGTGAAGCACTTCGGCCACCGAAGCCTGTAGAAAAGGGGGAAGCCGCTTGCTTTGGGGTTCCTGTCACCTGGCAGTTCATTTTGATTTGCTTTGCAGCATAATTGTCCTTACCCCGGACCGAGCGCATGTTGACGCCTTTGTGCCCGAATTGAACCTTTGGTGATTCAAAAGGACCTGCTTGGAGCTATGACCATTTCGGGGCATCGTTTGGCATGCAAATTCGCTTGTCTTCTCCGGCGCGGTCCATTGTTTGGCTCACAGCCACTGCGAGTAAGCTCACTTAACAGAATGCCAGAAGTTTTCTTCGAGCCCCGATGGAAACATCCAGTGCAAATCAGATGGCAGTCACTGGGGCAGAACATGTCAAACAAGCCTCACAGCTCACCAAGCTGGAATTCAATCACAGGGACCCATGCTGTTTTTTTCTCTTTGGCTGCTTCCCAGCCCATGCTTCAATCCTCGTCACGCAGCATCAAAGTCGCTCGCTTTAAGTCAGGTTCAAGAGCAACAGTCAAGCGTGGCCGATTTATTAAAGGCACCACACAGCCGAAGAACTTGAAGCCCGCGCAGCAGAACAGGGCGGGCCTATGCCGTGGGCGGAAGCGCCATGTGCGTGAGCAGGTGAGGAGTGAGGTGTGAGGCTTGGCATGCGCAAAGGGCAAGGCGGCTAAGTTTCTTGGAAGGAGTTTGCACCCTGTTACGACATGGCTCGAATAATTCATCTATTGTCTACTCCCCCGCAGATTAGCTTCCAACAAACCTCATGTGTAGGGAGTCTCCTTATTGCAGATGTATTGGGCCATGACAATTAAATGTGCAGGGTAGTTCATGAGGATTCCACCAAATAAGCTGTCGGCCCTGATGCCAGTCTGTTCGGCAGACTGCTGTTAAAAAAAATCAGGTTCCCAGGTTGGAGGGCGAGTTAGGGGCTAAACAATTGCGCGCACATAAATTGCCCTCTGATCATGATGAAATGCGATGCAGTAGTACCCCGCAACCTCATTGTGATTGTCTGGGCCTTTGCAGTAGATCCATCCAGGTTTACTCAAACGGTCCCGTTTGCCATGAAGGTGATGGCGGCCTGGTACCCGATGCTTTTTTCAGATGGTTTGATTCTGCTCATGTTGGATGTGGAGCAGAATTTGCAGGTGTCTAATTTTCAAAGTGTTTCTTTCTTTAAGATTATTGAAAGTGGACTCTGAACATGTATCGACATAGTTAGACGGTTCCTCCCAACAGTTGCTGCCAGCTTAGTATCAGCAGGGCCTGGCTTCCGCGCTTCCCAAGGGGAAGCTTATTCATGGCTTTCACATGCTTTCACTGGGTTACCCGGAGCGTGTGCTTACAATCCGCAAAATCCTCACATTTGGTGTTTATATAACACACACACACATTCAGATGTAGCGCCTATTTATATATACATATATATATACACATACACAGCATACTAAAAGAGAGGACGCTGTGTCCCTTTTTTCCAAGACGCACAGACAATTGGTTTGCATCAAAGCAAAGCGAAGACCGACGGCTTGACCCGACGCCCTCAGGCCGCCCGTTGGGCGCCATGGCGCCCGCGAGAAGCGCGGCTTTGCCCTCCTGCGGCTTCGCAGTGCAGGCTGCGGTTCAACCCCGTACTGAAAAAACCAAGGTGTAACCACCCATGGTGTAACCCATGGAGCCACTCGTTCCAGCTCGTTTAAACAATGTTCCAAACCATGTATAGCACATGCAAGTACTCATGGTTCAAATGGCTGCACCCATTGCTGAAACAATCTCCTTTTGGGCTTCTGTCTAGTTTCGACCGCAGGCGACCAAAAAGGGCGCCGGGGCCTCGGGCCTTGAGACGGGAGGTCCCAAGCCGCAGACGCCATGGAATGAGGCAAACCAAAGGAGAAATCTGGCCTCAGCTCGACACGAGAAAATCCTAGAAAGGAAACAAATAGATCTATCCGAGTTGGGAAGCTATGCGTAGTGCGTGGTGTGCTTGACATTGCCCATGGCAGAGACTCAGCTGTTTGATCCCACTAGAGAGTACGCGCAAGTTCAAAAACAGAGCTGACGCTTATACTCATTCACTCACGTCAACACTAGCACCAGCCAACATGGAAGCGCACAGACCTCTTTTGGCAGACTACTTTCCTCTTGGCTAAGGGACGGTGTTCCAAGTTTGACATTACCTCCCAGTTGTTCAGTGGTACCCCTTTTTCTTTTTTGTTGGTGGGGTTCCCCACAAAAGATGGTCAACTCCGAGAATGGTTCCCGCTTTTTACACGGGTCAGGGACCCTCCAAGTCGTTTGGGCGAGAGCTCCTCGCTCGCCCAGAACAAGCCCAGCTGCGAGCGAACCATCTCTTCACCAATTCCCTTTCTTACAGTAATAACAGATGAGAGAATGGGGAATTGGATCACAGATGAAAGGATGAGGGAAGCCCGTCCAGACAGTGACTGGAGCCGGCTTCCCTCCCCATCTCTTTTCCTCTTCCAAACTATTTCCCCAGATTCTAAGACACAGACGGCGAATGGGAAAGAGATAAGACCCACCGACCTATGTGATACGCTGTAGGTGGGTATAGGAGTGAATGGGAGAGTGAGGGTACAGATGGCGACATGATGAAGAGAGCCATCCCTCACTCTCTATCCCTCTTTTTTCCCTTCACACGCCCATGTAGCGGGAGGAGCTGCCGCTGAAAGTGGAGAAGCGTGCGAAGGGCAAGAAGGCGCCCTCTTGCTCTGACGGTCTGCCACTGGTGGAGGGGATTCTGTCGGGTCACAAAAAGTTGCCAAATCGGCCAAAGTCTGACAGTGACCATGTGATCACGGGGCCCCGTTCTTGATAGGGAATAGTCATCCATCAACCCATCATATATATATATATATAAAATATACACGTTCATACATATGTAGATTATGTGGTGTAGGCGGTCTAATTCAGGGGTAAAATGCCCTCAGTTCAACATCCGGGAGTGTTGCAACAAGGTTGATCCCTATGCAGTCCTGGCTATCCGAGCCAGGTGACCATCATTCCCAATGTCGTCGGGGATGTGCGCCGTGCCACGATTGTCGTGGATGTCAAAAAACCAGTGGATCCCAGCTACAGCTATGGTAGGTAGCCAGCGATGTTCCTCGTAGTTATTACAGGGTGGTTCCGGTGGTTACCCACTACTATACACAGGTAGTTGGAGACACTGGAAAAACGAGTCGCGCCTCTGTTTGTTTTTGTGAAGTAACCGATCACTTGGAGGCGACTTGTTTCGACCAGAACATCGTATAGAAAATTAAGTTGTCATACGAACGGCATCGCTGCTTGGCTACGTAGGTTATCCAGGTGGTTGGGAACCTCAGCTCATCTGAATTCTCGCTTGGTTCTCCTGCGTTGCCCGAGCGTCCCACTTGCGACGTTTGTCTGGTCCTTCGTGAAGGAGCGCGAGCTGTTTCGCTTGGTTTGCAAGTGTGCAAAGGGGCATTCATCCCTCCATCCGCCAGACTAGCTTGGGGTGACACCCAAAACATGAAATCCACACACTCACCAGGCAAAGCTGTTTTTTCAAATCAGGGAACAAACATCAAAAACACCGGTCTCATCCGCTGGGCGGCCGATGGCTTGCCAGGCCACGCGCCTCGCACGGGCCCTGCAGACCATGCTGGGCGTGGGCGGCTCCGTGCGCCAGGCACGGGAAGTCGGGGAGGCGGGTATGGGCCGGTTTGGGTTTGTCTTAAATTGATGGGACCCACATTTTGTTGGCATTCCTTCTGGTAAGCCATTAATCATTAAGCCGAGCCAAACACAGGCACACTCTTATGGCAACAGAGCGGGAGGGAAGGGTGGGGAAGGCTGGCATATGGTACAGAGTAGGGGAGCAAGATGGTTGCTGACCGGCGCGGTCAGTCGCTTGGCTGGTCGTGGTCAGGTGAATGAGAGATGAAAGCAAAGTTATTTGAAGAGGCACCAGTTGCGGAACATGTCAGACTCCCGAAGGAAGTTACTGCCGTGTTCGCAAGCTGATCTTATGTTCTTTTTTTGAGGGTACGTTGAGGTACCCCATATTTGTTGATTGTTTTTGAAGCAGGCTTGTGCTGTGCGCGACACAAACACCAGGGAAACATGCTTTCCAGGAATCACAGCATCTTGCAATTAGTGTGTTTTCTTCTTTGTTGAGAAAAAAACACAGTCAACATAATGGTAAACATGTTATTCACAAAATCCCAAAATTGTGAAAACCACATTATAAACACAATGATTGAACAATCCAGGAAAGTCCGTTTGTTCCGTAAGACTCGTGGACAGATTTGTCATTTCATCTTTCATTTGAGGAAACAATAGGTAATATGATGTAACATGATTAATACATGAGACGCAGGTTTGAAAATCATCACTTATATTATTTTGGATACAGTCATCGAGGTTTCCAGGACCTGTAACAGAGAGTTTTGAACTGGAAACTGCAAAGCTCGAGCAAGTTGCACGTACAAGACATTGTGGCATCCTGCGAACATTAAATAATACACAAGCTACAAGTCAATGAGTTGCGCGGGCCGTGCTTTTGTTTTCTGTCTATTGCCTGTCTATGATGGCTTTTTGTTTGATGGGTTTTTGTGCACTGCTTAAATATTGTCCTGCTTCAATGAAAGCCTTCAATTAAAGCTGTTCAAAGTTTGCTTTTGCAGTACAAACTTTATGTTTTAATCGATTCTGTGAGCTTTTTGGCCAATGCTTGTTTGAATGGGTTTTATGTATAGACGTGCTTGCTTTTAGGACTTCAGAACATGTTCGAGCAACCCACACGCCTCTTTAAAAAGCAAAATTACTTGGCTTCGAACCATCCCCACCCTCCACACCGGCAACTTTTCCTCTATTTTGCTCAAGGGCCTGAAAATGATTCCGATGCCACTTGCTACAACATCAAAAGCAATTCCGATGCCACTTTGCTCATGCCTTGCAGGCCGCACTTCAACGTTATCACTATCAATGGCAAGCGCTTTTCCTCCGACTTCTTTCAGTTGCACAGACCTGGCCAAAACTAGGCTGACA